AATGCGCAGAAGCTCGAGAATTAGTGAAAAGTACTGGAACGCGTAGTTCTGCAGGTCTGGTGGTTGGTTGTGTGATTTACTTCCTCGCATCAGCTGACACGTCTGTGAATCGATCGGTGACACGTGTTGCACGGTGTCTCGTGTTGCAGTGTGGTGTCAACTCCGGACAGCATTCCTGGTCGATAGTTTCGTGGATGTGGAAAAGTTTTTTGTCTTTTTTGGATGGAAATGGGGGAATTTAGCATGCTTTCATAGCATTTGGACAGGATTGTTCGAATTTAAATTTATGTTGTCGCCTAATTTAATAGTGGATCGAATACCATGATCAGGACTTGAGCTTTATAGGTTGAAGTAGAGAACACATCACCTTCTGGGAGCTGCACGGAAAACGAAATAACGAACCTCCTGATCGGGACCGTGCCCATTGATTTCACCTCGAATTTGCCCTAGGCAGGTGACAGTAAGGCGCCAAAATAATTGCTACTTAAATGTAGTGGGTAAAGGCTTAACCGGCATTGAATATCCCACAGCTAAAATGAAACTCGTATATTAATAATGCGTTTTTCGTGCAACGATATTAATAGCGATGTAACGATGATATGAATACGTCAAGGTTTTAGCCCGTTTCGTTCAGCATGGGCAATCAATTACTACCTAACATTGACTACTCCGTATGCCATCTTAACTGCAGTAGGACAAACTTGGCAGACCTGCCAACAGGTTGTTTTCCTCGTCAAAAATTGTCAATTTAAACGGAAACTTCGCAAAGAATATACATTTGATAGCTTAAGTTGCGTGCGCATATAATCCCGTCACAATGCGCTTTAAACGCATCCCTATCTGCTTCTAATGGCTAGGAGAGCTCTATGGTGTATTTCTGCAATTTTTACTCTGGTAACGGTGACCGCTTTCTAAAGATGAATCAAACCGCAATACCTTAATTCTAGTTCTCTGCTTTTTTACATAAAACTCTTCACGATCTCTAGTAAAGCTATGGTGATATCATGTGATCTCTTTTTATCAACATTATACATTTTTTGCGTCTCGAGCATCGTTTTTAGGTGGAAATGTCAGTTAAAGTAAACATAAACACAAAAAGAGATTGTGAGACTGGTATAAATTACTGTGAATGGAAAAAGACTATTAAAGTCTCTGGTTGGAGTCAAGCATGCTCTAGCCCACTGAATCGTTACGGGGGCAGCCGACTGGTAAAGACGGCGATTCCTAAATCTTTCCATCCTTCTAGATGGAGCAGAATCAGGAATGAGAAAACATACTTCCACACCCTGAGTAGATAATTCCTCAAGTAAAAGAGTTGCCGAATCCAATGTGACCACCTTTGAATTCGTGGTAACAACACACCTTGCATCAATCATGTCAACGTGGATGCGTCTCTCAAAATCCTGCTGCACCGCGATCACAGATGCTCCTGTCAGATTCACTTGACACGAAGAATGAAACGGTGGTTAAGGGCTATTTCAACTTTCAGACAACAACAAAAGGCGGTTTCACAAGACCGCATTAAGTGTGATCCACCTGCAATGGGTTCGTTTTATTCCACCCACTTTGACCTATTAAAACAACTTTAGTGGTTTTAAGGCAAGAAAGGACATTTTATGAAGATTTCATAGCAAACGACGCTATGCTAAATATAGCGTTAAGTAATTGCCTGTTGTATTCCTGTTAAGCAGACCTATCCCTCCATGTGCATACACTCTTGGAAATCGCAAATATTCTCGAACGATTGTGCTATTATGGATTCGCCGTACACATACACCGATTCATCTCTTGTACACCAACCCACAAGGTATTGCGCGTCCATCGTGCATGCAGGATGAGGCATTCCACGCGACAGCTGAACGTTTACGGGCATGACTGTTAGCACACCACAACAGAGTTTGACACAGGCGGAAAGACGTACGGTCTTCTTTGAATTGTGTACACCACGTCTTTATTTAGAGGAGACTTAGTTCATCACGCTTCACGTGCTGCTGTAAGCAAGCACTCACCACCACCGTTAGCTGTCGTCCTGATAAAGCGTGTCTGGTCCAGTAGATGACATATGCGCCAGTCGTGAGTGTGAACTTGGAGGTCATGGCCTCACACTATGGCGTGTGGTATCATTGAAGTGTTCTTCAGTGGCTCCACTTTAGAGCCAGATGTTCCAGTTTGATAAAAATGCCACTCTCATTTTGCTAACATGTAGAGGACTGCCTACGACACTGGCATAGGACAGGAGTCAGCCCATGCTCATGAGATCTGAATGTCGTGATAATTAATAAATTCATTTGCAGGATTTGGCAAAACTTCTTTAAAGTCTCCTGTCATTCATGTTACCAGTCCTTTCAGCTCTTCTACATGCGTATAATTAAGATAGCGGGATTCAACATGGAAATGTGCGATGGTAGATGTACTCGACACATCATCCTTATTAAAAGCACGTAATAGAAAGCAACGCCTATTCACGGACAACTTCTAGCGTGTCAGTCACCCTTGCTTGAGTATCAAATGACCAAAATGATTCCTGCCATTTCTGGCATACCACGCTGCAATAACTTTTTTGCAATTTGTGGGCTGGCCGCTCTTGGACTGACTTGTGATGAGGAAT